GTCCTAACCAAATCTGATAGCAGGAACACCTCATGTGAAGCCTCACCTCAGCTACAATCCTCCCCATACCTGGTGGTAACTAGGGTTGGAGGCAGGAGGCTTAGTGCCGTAGCAGAAGGGTAGCACTTGCAACGACCACCTCCTGGGAAAAGTTGAATTCTTGTCCCTCCGAACCCATGTGCTGTAGTTCATCAACGAGCATGTCTCTCTGATATCACCGGCCCAAACCATAGTCTACCTGTGAAGGCTACCAATGAGAGACAGAAGACAAGGAAAAGAAAGTCGTTAGACCGATGACTGTCGCACGTGTGGTCCCGCCGTAGCCAAGAGGGGCGCTGCCTTTGAGTGCAACATCTGCAATTAGTGGGTGCACAGTCAGTGTGATGGGGACATACAAGACCATTATTACACCTACATGGCGCGCTACCCATACACGTGGTTCTAGTGCATCAGCCCACAGTGCTGTATAAGGCCACTCTTTTCCATAGGCTGGCTAATGGAGGTTTTAAAAGACATCGCAGTGGCTACTGTGATGCCACCACCCATACAGGCCACCATCCCAGGTCCAAGTAGCAAGAGTGTCAGCACTGTACCCCGGCCAGTCACACCGGTGAAAAGTCCAGAAAGACCTGAACGACGATCGGGTAGGCGACCAACTATATTAGTCCCCACCACTGAAGTCGCTTTAACGGCTGACCCCACTGTACATAGGGAAAAGTGGGCGGCGGTGGAAAAGAAGGTATACCCCTCCAACAAGAAACCACCCACAGTACTCGAAAACAGAGAAACTGATGACAGATAAAATCCCATCATCCTGTCCAACGTCCCTGTGTGCCATGATAGCCTTCTTGCGAACATAGAATCGTTTGACAAACAGTAATGGGAAACCGTATGCACCACGCTAGGACTGGGTAGCCTAGAAGCGAGACTGCAGGCTCTACAAAAGCAACTACCCACCTCAGGGAAAGCCTTCGCCAATGAGAGTTACCCTAAGCTCTGCTAAAGAGGCGGAAAGATTCTTACTGATATCACACACACCAGCCATCAACAGGTCATCCAGCATTAAGGCCAGACCAGACCGCCCTTCGTCGGCAAGAAAAGCATCTCGCGAGGCGCTCTAAACGCTGAAACCAATAACTATGGTTGTCGACGGCATACCAGAACTGACAACCGGCACAGTCGTAGAAAAGTATGCTCACGACGTTCAGCAATGGCAGTGGTTGTCAGCGAGGATGGGGCTAAATGGGATAGCAGTGGTGGCGGTCTGCAGACTTCCACGTCCCTCACATTTGACGACGATAACACCACCCCAGTTGATGGCTGTTAACTTGGTTGCCAAGAACTTTTAACCGAAGTACTGCAGACTTGGTACACAGTGAAAGATAACATCACTGGGAACGTTCGCTGCTGTGAAAGCGGGTCCAGGACACTGCGACAACAGCAAATGGCAGCACCGCCCACCGCCGAAGTCACCATCACTGTCAACAGACAAGATGCACAATCAAGTTTGGACTCTATGAAACCCCCAGAAACCATTGTGGGAAAAAACGTGATTGGGCCGGTTCCACTGGAGCTGGCCGTCCTGTGGCAAGTTTCGCCACTGCACACGACCCCCTCTAGTCTGCCAGCACAAAGATACCCTTGTCGTCAGAAACATGTCCAAGTGTCTTTACTGTAGTGTGAGGGGACTTAGAAGTAAGATGGGGGAATCACGATTTCTCTATTCCTACCTTGCCCCAACGATCATGAACCTGACAGAAACTTGGTTATCACCGGACATTAGCGACGTCGAAACTAGTATAGACGGTATGCGTCTGTTCAGGAGAGACAGGGAGTCTAAGGAAGGAGGCGGAGTGGTGATGCTTGTGATTGATAACTCTAAGAGTGAACCAGCAACTGAAACTCTACTTTCAGGGCTCCCAGACTCCATCTGGTGTCAGTTTAAGGTTGGACACAACAAGTACCTAGTAGGGGGCGTCTACAGAACACCTACTAGAAGCGTGGAAGATAACCGACAACTGCTGCAAGTAATGTCCCGAGCGACGCCCACCGGATACGACCGCGTCATTATAGCCGGCGATGTTAATGCACGACTCCCGATCTTGGGCAGGATAAGGGAACCTCGAGCAGAAGAATCCGACCGAAACCCACTGAACACTGTTGAAAAGGCTGGGCTGCAAGAGGATATTGGTGATGACACTCGCTGGGGTCTAGGGGAAAGCCGTCTAAACTGGACCACCCTCTTACCAGTGACCACCTGCTGTTGGAAAATGTACAGGTTCAAACTCCCCTCGGCAACAGAGATCACAGCATGGTAGTGTTCGATCTGGTAATCTCCGAACAACTGTCATGGGAGGGATCGCGCCCTTGTCTTTGCTACAACAAGGCGAACTATGTGGCGATGAACCAACATCTGTCGACAGCGCCATGACCTCAGGAGTGGGGCAACCTATCGATTGACCAACATTAGGAACGAGTCAGAGATATCATCAAGAGGGCTAACTCTGGAAACGTCCCAGTAATCACGGCAAATACCGCGGAAACGAATCTCATGTTTGAGGCGAGGCACTGAACGCCTTTCGAAAGCCAAGAGAAAAGCATGGCACAAGTGGAGGACCCCAGAAAAGTGTCTGACCACACCTTGCATATTGCCCTGAGAAGCCCATATAACATAAGAGCGAGGGGAGACAGGAGGTCATTCCAGACGAACCTCACTCAGAAGCTCGAGGCAAACCCAAAAACCTATATCAGTTTATGGCAGGCAGAAAATCCACCAGCCAGAGGACTTGCGTCCTAAAAGGCCTGTGCGGAGAGGACCTCTCCGGACTAGAGGTCGCCGAAGCCTTCAGCACCACCTTCGATAGGCAACTGAATGCGTCCTCATCAAACCAAGATTACCAACTGTCCGACCAACATTCAGCACCACCAAATGCAGTAGAGTTACCTGGAATAAAGGTAACTCCTGCCATGGTCCTCGAAAACTGTCAAAGCTTCGCCCAGGGAAATCACCAGGGTGTGACGACATCCGACCGGCTGGGCTGAAACAATGCGCGCGTGCCTTGTGCGGTCCGCTGTGTAACCTGTTTCAACACTCCTTAGACAACCACATGCTTCCACAAGAATGGAAAAGTGCTATTCTGTCCCCCATCTTCAAGGGCAGGACCAAAACTGCTACCGACCCATAGCCCTCCTACCAGTAGTGTCAAAAGTAATGGAGAGTCTGGTAGACGACCATGTAAAGAAGTACTTAGAAAAGAGGGGAGCACTTGGTGATGCTCATCATAGTTTCAGAAAAAGTAGGTCCTGTGCCACAAGCATTCCGGCGGTGGTTGATAAGTGGAAGGCATGCTGGGACTTCAAAAATCCTATCCATGTTATCTTCCTGGATTTTGCTAAGGCGGCAGGTGATAAGTGGAGTTTACCAAGGCCTTCGACATAGTTCCACACACCGTTCTTATCTACAAAATAGCAAGGTTGGGCATCAAGGGACAAGTGCTTCCATGGTTGCAGGACTATCTAGACGGTAGGTAATTCTGCACAAAACCCAGCAGAGTTTGCTCGACTTGGAGGACATCGTCATCTGGTGTATCACGAGGGGCGATCCTGGGCCGCTACCATTCCTTCTTTTTGTGAATGACCTCCCACTGAATCTCAGCTCCCCAATTCTACTTTACGCTAATGATGTTAAGTTACAGAGAGCTGTGACGTCAGAAACAGAATCAAGTGCACTACAAAGTGATCTCAGATTACTTGCAGAGTGGGTGGATATTAATGGACTTGCATTTAGCCTAGATAAGTGCCTAGCCATGTTTCTCCTCACCACAGACTCCCAGAAGGTACCCTATTCTCTCTGTGGAACACAACTCTCCCACACCACCACAGAGAAAGACCTAGGACTAATGCTAACCGACAAACTAGACACTGGCCCCAATTGTCCAGGGAATGCCTCCAGAGCCCACGCAGTACTGCACTTCATGCGCAGACAACTGAGTGCCTTGACCCCGGAACTCTTTTTGAAGCTGTATAAGACCTATATACAACCCCACCTAGAGGTACACAACGTCACTGCACCACCACATCTGAAGAGAGACGTGAACCTCCTGGAGAGAGTCCAAAGGCGAGGTACAAAGAGTTTCGTGGGAATAAGGCAAAAACCATATCGGAACAGGCTGAAAGATCTAGGGCTTTACTCCCTAAGCTACCGCAGATTACGTGGTGGCTTAATAACGGCTTACAAAATACTCAGTAACCCAAGTCATCCGAACGGCCACCATGGAGATCCTCGTGGTAACCCAAAGAGAATTGCTCACCGAAGAGCGAAAACGCGTGTGCGATCACTCTTCCTCTCTCTGCTAGAAGAGGTTGGACAGTTACATAGCGACGCACGGTTTGCGCTCATCCAGCTGGGATGTGGACTAGGCTGACACGACTTGCTAACTCGGTACGACCAACCGATACTGAACACCTAGTAAAACCACTATCACTGAGAACTTATCTCAACCTTGTACCTTCCGTACACGTCCCCTTCAGTTACGGTCTCCTACTAAAAGAATTACTGTATTCCCATTCGTCCTATCATGTTGTTTACTCTTCTTCCTTCTGACTTTACGCTCTCAAACTTTAACAAAAGCTCTTCCTATCACCTATCCCCATAAACCTGACAATGTTTCTCCCTTTGTGCCTTGTCCTTTTTCTCATCTTTTTTCTTTCTTTGTTCCCCTTTTCTTTTTCTATTTTGTCTTTCTCTGCACTTTGTCACCCTTGATTTCTCTGCGCATATTTTTCATCTCCTTTTTACAACCAATCCGACCAATTGTCTGCTGGCAAGACACTTGAGGAACCCATCTGCACTATAGTCCTTGGAAGAAAAAAAACAACACTCCATGCAAATTCAACCAACACCCAACCGCCCATCGGGCTAAACAGAGCTACAGCAGCCAAGTGGGTGAACCCAATGCATTGGAATCTACGAAAGACCTGGAACCATTCCTCAAGACCTAGAAGCGAGCGCGAAGAAATCAATTGGTTTACACTAGCTAGTCAACAGATATTGGATGTTGTATGAAGTGCAAAGTGCAAAGTAATGCACATCAGTAAAAATGAGGCAAGTACGACCGACTTCCAGTACATGTTGAGCAACCGTGCTATCACCAGAGTGTCCATGGAGAAAGATTTGGGCTCAACTTCTCCGACACCTTGGACACCAGCTCCAACTACAAAGGTATGACAACCAAAGCGAACGCCATTCTACACTTTCTGCGTAGACAGCTTGGCGCCCTCACTCCCGAACTCTTCCTTACCATTTTCAAATCCTACGTGCGGCCGCACCTAGAGGTCTTCAATACGGTGGCTCCTCCAACACTCAAGAGAGACTCTAATCTCCTTGAAAGAATACAGAGAACTGCAACAAAATCAGTTGTGGGGCTAAGGGGAAAGACGTATTTTGAAAGACTTAAACACCTCAACCTATTTACCTTGGGTTATCGCAGGAAAAGGGGTGACCTCATTATGGCATACAAGATCGCCCATCAGGCAGACCATGCAAACAAATCAATTTTGCCTGCAACTGAACGATCTTCACGAGGAAACCCCTTTAAGATAGCACACCAGAGAGCCAATACCACACTCAGGTCCAAATTTTTCTCCCTAAGAGTATGTGCTTTATGGAATGCCTTACCGCGACACATCGTTATAGCTCCTTCAGTCGACTCTTTCAAGAGGCGATTAGACAGTTATGTTACCTCGCATGGACTACCACGGACGTACTCAGGTAGTCACCAACCTCAGTACCCCTCAACTCCCTCCTAACTACCACTCACTATCTCTCTCCTTAATACACCCACATTACCTACTAATTCTTCTGTAGGAACCAAACCCACGCGACCATTCGGGCAATTCCCAAATACTTTTCTTTCGTTCTCATTTCTCTCTTCACCCCTTCTTTTATTCTCCTTCCCTTTCCTCTTCCCTGCATTATTATTACTATTATTTTTATTTTTAATTTTTTATTTATTTATTTATTTATTTTTTATTTTATTTTATTTTATTTTTTTTATTTATTTTTTTACTCTTCCTTTCTTCTCTCTTCATTCCTTTACCACTACCTTAATATTCTCTTTCAGGTACCTACACAGACAGGAGTCACGGTTGTTCTCTAAACTTCCCAGCAGCCCGTAGCTCCCTAATCACTCTACAAATTACAACCTACTAACCCACAAAACATCCACCTCACCGAAGCTAAAAGCAAGAAAGCAGAGGGGATTTCCTCGTCCACTGCAGGAGTGAACCGAACAACTGGAACCAAGCCCTAAGAACTAGACGCGAGAGATCAAAAACTACTAGTTTTCTACGCTCGCACTATCAATATTGGATATTGGATTGGATGAAGGTTAAGAGATAAAATTCCGCGAGCTTTGTTTGTTGCGTTGCACGTTAAGTGGGTGTGAAAAAGGAATTGACAACTGTAATACTTTTATGATCTTGAGTAACTTTGCAAGTGGGGGGTTCAGGAGCATTTTGAGACTTAAGATGAAATACCTGGGTTATTAGGAAGCATACGTTGACATTTCCGCAGAATGGCATGGGATTCATTTTAAAATCTGGCCCTTTATGGTATTGCACACCTGTAAGTGTGCACTGTCTTTTTCATTGAATATTTCCTCTATAGTTTTTCAAGTGCTCACGAAGTTAACGCTATATTCGCTACAGCCGGATTAAGTGTGTCGCGAGACTTTTATTCTTTCATGATAAATAGCACCTTTTGTCAAATTCCCATGACTCGTCCAGAATATCTAGGAGATATTAAGTACTACAATCAGTTCCTTTGTTATACTGAATGTTTCCGAGTGGCTTCAGAGTACTTTGTGAAGAAGCACAAACTACACAATATGTTTCCAGAACCAATCTGGTGAACCTAGGACCAACATTGTATTCTGCAACATTTGCTCGATGATTTACCAACGTTAACCCTGTTTTCCTGTGTTGACTCTTCTTCAAACGAGTACTAGCCGAGGTTTAGCCCTACGACTAGTGTTTATCTCATTGTATTCCTATAAGAAATTCATATTCGCCTAAGCTTAATTCCACAATGTAACTAAATCGTAAATTTCCAAGGAAATTATTTTACGTATCTCTGTTGGTTAGATGACTTCATGTGTAGAGCTAAAATGGAAGCATTTCGGATTTATTATCTAGTCAGGTTTGGATAAAGTTGGTTCATCCTAGTATTAGTATATTTCCAACACAGCTACCATTAGTTTAATCTTAGGCCATATATTGTTAACCTGAAATTGGTCTTACGTATTCGCTACGAGATTAGTCATAGGTTCACCACATTTACCCAAGGAAATTGCTGAGTAGCTCTGGTCAAGCAAAACGCTTCTATCTTTATTTCACACTTTTTTGGAGTTAATGCCGTGCCTCATTTACTTGTTGTGCAAGATTGTGTCTGGTGGATTTTTGACTCTGTTCATCAAATTCATTATCTCCATCACTAAATCTTTTCTATTAGCTGGTAAAGCAACTATTTCGAACAGTGTAAGGTGTCATGTCAATATGAGTGTAAAACATTTAGATCTACTAATAGATGAGCTAGGGCTTATCAGAAATGAAATTGGTCTTCAAAAAATCACTCTGACCTTATATATTTCGGGCGAAGTTTTTACAAGTGGTTTTATGGTGCTCACACGTTTCGAATAAACATGTGGAGCGTTCTTTGCGAGGGTGTTCCTAGACATGCTTTCTAAGGCCAACAGGCCTGTACAGTCGAATATGCCCAGTTCCACCTAATAGCCAACTACATTTTTATAAACCTTTTAACATAGTTGTGTGAATAGCAACGAAATATGTAGGAGCACTTCAAGATGATCTTTTTTAACCTCTACCCTTCCATGTAAATGCAAAGTTATTAGGTCAAAGGAACTTATATAAGAAATGTAATAGGCAGATGTCTTCCTTAACAGTTACTTTCAAGACTTTGAGTGACCGCAGAGCCCAAAGGACATCTGCTTAAAGGCGGTTACACAGCCTTTTTAAAAGTTTTGCATTGAGGTTCCACTGTACTGCTACAAGGAAAACTCATACTTCTGGAACCGGAAAAACAAAAGGCAGAGAGGGCTGCGTTGTTTTTAGGACCGAATCCTCCTCTCGAAGGTCGTATCAGGACGGAGTGCAGATAATCCACCGGAAATACCCTATTGCTACCACACCTCGTCCAATCAGCAGTACCAGTTCGCCTTCGGTCTGCCACTATAGCACAAACTATTCACAGTATGACGGTAACTGCTTTTAGTCTTACAAATATCCAACCGACCGTTATGGCGTGGTAGAAACTTTAGGAACAATTGTCTCCGTCAGCAAAGATCCTTGTGTCATTACCACAGGTAGGCCCAACCAGGTTTCAACGAAAAAACTTTCAAACTGATTGCGTGGTTTTTTTCTGGTACGATACCAAAACACTGTATAAGACGTTGGTGATTTAAGGAGAAAAGGGTGTTCTAAATGTATTTAAAAGTCACTCGGTAAAACCTTGAGGCAGAAGCTAGAATTTAGGTATAACCCACTATTTGATTCGTGCTTGCCAACTAAGCCAGCTGTTAATATTTCTACTTTAATCTTCACTCACATAAAAATAGTCTTCACACGCGATGCCAAATTTTTATTTTTTTTCTCTGTCCAAAGATTGATTTTCAAGACTGACACCATAACAAGTTCAGTAAACCTTTAAGTGTTTGTTTCACTAAGTTACCTTGTCTAGGCATCCAGTGCATGTGCAGTGTTCGTGTAAATTGACAGTATCTTAATGCCTCTCCACACCCCTGCCTTCAGGTGTCTGTGTAGTAGATACCACAATTTACATAGGTGTAGTTCGAAGTCTGATATGCGAATCTGCAAGTGGTTACTGAGTTATTTTCCATTTTTGTTGTATAAGTTGTTTTTAGAACTCCATTTATAATGCACAGTAACTTCTCGATATTGCGTAGGAAAATACGGTATTTCATCTTGTATCTTACACTAGTGATTTGTTCCTAATAGATCAGTAGAATTTCTCACCGTAAAGAGGTAAAAAATTCATCAGTCCGCACTTTCTACGTTTGTTATTCATCTTTCAGATTAGTTTGTTTTCGATTATGTACAACCGTATCTGAAAATGGCCGCATGTGTAGTGGTAATTTCTGACACTAACCAACTACTTTATCTCCGAACCGCTGAATGCTCTGATCCTTTATTCTACCACTTCAAGGCACATTCTGCCTTGGATGTCATTGAGGACAAACTATCCAGACGTACAGCGAGTGGCACTCATGACCAATTGGAACAGTATCTCGGACTTTTATACCCGATGGAAGACCATAGGATATATGGTTATGTGACCAACACGAAGATCAAGGTATATGTAATAAGCAAAATTCAATTTCATTTGTTATTTATTTAATGGACTGGACATATTTATTCAGCATTTTCAGTGATCCAAACTATCAATCTTAATTGCATTTTTGGCTTAGCTGGAAATGCAACATCATTCTGGGCTTATTTATAGAACGATATACACTTCTCTTATCGTAGTCCTGAACTACTTACAGGCGATGATAAACATACATTCGTGTCCTCGTCCTGGATACCCATGTAATACGGATATAGCGTCAATCAGAAGAGTTGGTATGATAGATGAGACTTCTAACCGTAAAATAGCATGTGCCAAACTGGTGCACCTTTAGCACATCTCTGATGTCAGTCGGACTGTCGGAGGTTGAGTGTATAACACTTCAGCCCGGACAGGTCTGTCTTTTATCAGTTAATTTTAACCTCTCCGAACTGATTGATATCTGACGACTCTGCATGTTCAACCAATTTTTTTTGGAGGCTACTTGTATCTGATGGAAACATCGTAAGTGTTTCTGAGGTGTTGCGATTCCTGTTTGAACCGGAATGACAACGTTAGTTAAGTTCAAGAACCCTCTAACTATCGGTTAGAGTCATTTAGAGAAGTGTGGACTAGCTGACGGGCATCATTTAGTGTTAGGAATCAGTGGACAGAGACTTAGTGATGCGGCTGAGTTTAGATAGATATACAGTTGTGCAATGCCCTATTTCGTTTCTGTGTGCCTGACCAAATTGATTTCACAGATATGAGATTTTAATTTCTATCTGTCATTTAACTGATTGTTCTGTTACCTTGAACTTCATATTCAATGTGTTAGTGCAGTGGCATTTAGCCGAATATCAGTTTGTCTGGATAGGGGGGGGGGGTGACAACAGTTAGGTGTTTCTCTTAGATGGTCAGCGGTTCCATGCTGACGTCACCTTCGCTATGGAAAAGAGGAGTTAGAAAAGGTCTTCCCTAAGAATAGCGCACTTTCTACCTAGCAGCATACCGGTGCCGGCGATATGGATTCATAGTCTGATTCGAGAGGAATAAACTAAAATTTCCAGGTGGTATGTGATCAGTCACAAGCGGATTTTCCTTGCGTTTTGCGGTCACACACTAACCCTTCTTTTTCAGTTATTTTATGGAGAACTAGCCTTCCATGGTGTGAGCACCCAGGAAATGTCAATCGCCCTCACAGCTCTGTCAGCACTCAAATTCCCTCAGATCATTATCAAAGATCTACATCTTCACCTTCTAACATTTCTCTACATCTATCGATCAGTGTTTACATCCTCTTTAATTTCTCTCAACTTTACAGCCCTAAACAAATATTATAGTTCACAGGACAGCATCCCGTAAAACAGCCCGCCAAACTAAGTGTAGGGGCTTTCAATGTCTGTATCGTCGGTCAAATTGGCCGACGAACTTCACTAACTGACCAAAACTCTGGCATCTTGAACCATTGATGTATGCTGTGTTTGTGAGACACGCATACAGGACCACAGCTCTGTCTCTGACTTAACCTTACCCGGCGAATACATTCAGATTGCTAAATTCACTCTTCGAGTTTCTGGAGATTCAATGGCTTGTTCTCACAGTCTTGCAAGTGTATGCAAAGCGTTGTTCTCAACCAAGAGAGCGCGCTACTTCATTGGATCCCAGTTGACAGTCGTCTATAAGCTGTTCGACTGCACGATGCAGTGAAGACTAAAACGAACAGTGAGACTCTCCGTTTTCTCTTTGTAATCTGTGCTAGAGCATCCACTAACTGAAGCTCGGATAGAGTGAAGAATGAATTCTATCGGAAACTATCTAGCCTCCTCCTGAAAGCTAAACGTTCAGATGTGGTTGTTATAGGAGTTGATCTCAAAACACAAGTGGGCAGGCTAAGTTAGGCAGAAAAGCACTTCGGTAGCACTTTTGGGATCTCATCCAAACTAACAGATGTTGGCGATCTCTTAGTACAAGTGTACTCAGACAACAGTGTATTTCTGATCAGTACCAACTTCAGACTTAAAGACAGATGCCATCTGATGGGATGTCCACTAACCTCAACTCAGCGATGGACATTAACAGACCATATTGCTGTCACATCTCTGAAGTGGGTCGGTTGAAGATTTTCGCTCGTTCCGGAGCAGGCGTTGGCCCCAGGATGCTGATGTCTGTGCCTAAATTGATATAGTAAAACAACAGCTGTGAGACTATTCCCAGCGCAGCCGTAGGATGAAAATATCAAGGATAATTTCAATCAACAACTGGCTAGACAATTGTCGGGAAAAAGTAACGTAACTCATCAGAAGAGGCCTGGCACCATCTCCAGTCTTCCGTAAAAACACCGTTAAAGACAGTAGCTAACTGAGAGAAAGTGATTAGAAATAGCTGGTGGGTCTCAGCAGTTTATACTGAGTTAATAGATGTATTCAAACGCATTCCTGCGGGCTTCGAGCACAATGAGGAGCAAAAGTAACTCAAGTGTCGACCTACAAGAAGTGTACTCAACAACCATGAGCAGTGGTGAGTAGCGAAGGCTGAGAAGACCCAGAAGGCACCGGTGGTAGGTAACACTAGACAGATATTTAAACTTATCAGGGAAACTAAGGCAAAATAGTGAATGGTTAGTGAGACCATGGTAGAGGAGGACGGGTCTGTGACTCATTCATAAAAGGGACGACTGGAACGGTGGGCGGAACCCTTCAAGGAACAGTTCAACTAGCCTTCAGTCGCTGCCCCTTTGCCAGATGTCCAGTCGGATCCTGAGTGGAATATTGAGAAGAAGTTGAGAAAGCTGTAGGCACTCTGAAACGAGGAAGAGCAGCAAGGCCAAACAGACTTGTACTAAAGATAATTAAGGATGGTTGTTGAGAGTTACTGGTCAGGTTAGCTGAAGTGTTAACTAGTGTTTGGAGTCAGGCATAACCCCCTCTGACTGATCCAAATTACTGATTGTCCCAGTCTGCAATGAAACTGAGAAGTCCTCATGTAATACATTTAGTGTCTAGTATTCTATGTCCTATGATCATTAGACGTCTAAGTGGAGTCTGGGAGCAGCCAGCATGAGAAAACCTGGTTGTGGGTGTATCGACCAGATATTCACGCATACTTACTGCTGTATTTATTAACCGAAAGGTGTCATTCCCCTCCGTCGATTGAGAGTTCTTATGGGAGTTTCTCTCTTTGAAAGGGGCCCTGATTAAGTACATCATTCTACCGAAGTCTCTGCACTCGAACACTTGTGAGCGTGTTAGAGATTATGGTGAGTTATCAGGTGAGTTCTGTACGTTGAATGGTTCCCGACAAGAATATATACTCTCCATTTCATTCAACTTTATCGTAGACTTTCTCATGGAGGTCTCCCTTGTCGTCGGACTGCGCAGTTTTGATCTTATCAGAGGAGAATCCTTAGTAGATCTAGAATACATAGATGAAATGGTCCTATTAGGTGAAAATCCTGACAAAATGCAGAGTCTTCTGGATTCCTTGAATGGCAATTCGAGAATTCTCTTTGAATTAGTTTCTCTCTACCTAGATACAGATTGTTACTTCATGACTGATCTTCAGTAGTATCGTGTTTAACAACGGGGAGTGAAATAGTTGATTGCCTTGACCACTACACTTACTTGGGAAGATGCATCAGCCCTGGTGGGTCAGCAGCCAATGAAATCTCTGCATGAATGCAAAAGGCTGGTTTAGCGTTCGCCAACTTGAGCCGTTTCCGATGCCGTCGTGACATCCGATTGCTTATGGTTGGGTGTACTGCACTGTAGTCCTCTCTCCTGCTGCATGACTGTAAAACGACTATTAAAAGTAGGGGACGTGAGAAAGCTTCAGGTGTTGGATCACTGTTGCCTTTGTAGCACATGCTGCGCGTCGTGGTGTCACGATGCCAGTAATGAAGAGGTCATGTGTAGAGTTTTAGGGAATGTAGGAAGGTTAGTTGATGAGATTGCGAACCTTAATCGACTGAGATGTCTGGGACGTGTGTTACGTATGCCTAGTCACCGTCTACCTCTTCGCCCGATGTTGACTGAAATAGGTTTAGTCTGAAGAACGGTTAAGGGCGGCTAGACTACAACATGGTATCGGGCTCTGAACTCTTTAAACGCCGATCTGAGCCATGCAGGGAGATACAGAGTAACTGGTTAGGGTCCACGTGACGACAGAAACCAGTAGATGGAGATTCTAAGTGACAGGGCTCGGGATCGTTGTCACTGGTGCAAATGTATCCACACATTATCTTCATCTTAATCGTGAAGCTAAATTTCAGCATTCTCTCATCCTTTTTTGTCCTCTTTTGATGACTCTCTGTCACTTTTGACCATTTTTCTTTATTTCTTTACGTTCCATCTTATTACATTCTTGCTTGATGTGCTAAAGAGAGATGTGACAACTTGGATGGTTACGCATTAATGCCAGGTCCTATACTGATGTCATCTGTCTGTCTGTGTCTGTATTTATCGTTTAGTGTGTACACTACCCATTGTCTAGTTGGTTAATATATCAGTTGCTCTGTCTTAATAAACACTAACTCTCTGTAAACAATTAACAATTTAAATTGTCCTTTTGTTTTCTACAGTTTATTATGATATTTGAGTCGCATATTCTATCTTCGCAGTCCTCTCAGTCTGGTCTTCAAACTCACACACGAGATGTGGATATTCGAGCAATGTTTCAACGGCTACACTCTGCATACGTTAATCTAGTTTGTTCACCATTTTATAAACCAGGTACACCAATTCAGCCGGATAAACAAGCAGCTGCGTCTAGATTTGATCGATGCATCTCATCACTTTTAGCTACACATGCTAGTTCTGGTTACTGTTTAACATTTACTAATCTGATTGATGAAACTAAAACACCTACTGGTGAAGATGTAACGTCAAGTGTAATGTCTTCTAAAGCGTGATATTTTTTATTACTTTTCTTATTTTGTTTTTGTTAAATAAAAGTTATGCAACCAACCTGCCTAGTGACTTAATCTAACGGAGGAAACATCTGTTAACAGAGGACTCTGTTGCAGCAAAGGTTTATAAATTCAAGAACTTTCATACTGATGCCCTTTGGATAAAACATATGTTCCGTAAACCCTTAACTTATTTGGTGATGCTCCGGCACTTCGAAGTGAGGAAAGTTGGTCTAGAGTTGTGGCAAAAATGCTAACTCTAGAGTGAAATCCTTAAATATCTGAGGTATGAAGGGTCTTCAAAATGTTAGAACTCATTGGTTAAAGACTTTTTTGGTACAGCTCAAAATCGATCGTCTACTCAAATCTCTTTGCTATGGCTAAGCTAGAGGACTAGAATCGCTCAGAATATCAGGTGGTTTTATTTTGATTCATCTAAATACTTCTGCTAGGATTTATTGTCTTAGTAACAAGATACATCTTTGACCTTTTAATTGCATTTACGAGCATGGTTTTTTTACCTGACTCTTCAGACATCTTTAGTTAGGAATCTGTAATCTACTAGTTTCATTTACAATACATAGAACAAAACTCCATGCTAGGATACACGTGTATTCAATGGATGTGTCACATCAAGAAAAGTGCCTTTCGAGCTCCATTGCTAAATACTACCTGGAGCTACTAAAATACGTTCCCAGGGAACGTATAGTAAGCTTCACTTTCACCCAGTGATTTTTTTAATTCTTTCCTCGTTATTTTTTCAATAAAACAGTTGCTAAGAATAGTTATGAAATTCTAAACGATACTCGAAGTGAATTTGTTCCTTAAAACCTGAAAATACTGACTTACCTCATTGAGTGCAGTGCAGTGATTCTATTTTGTGACTGAAACGTATACATCAAGGTTTATTCTCGTAATCTTGTGATTGATAACTGGTAAAGTGTCACTTAATTTGTATATTTTTAAGAGCTGATATATATTTAGATACTTCGGAAAAGAAAGGAGACCTCGAAAATAAAATAAGAAAGGCGAGATAGATGAGATTACGACGATATTATGTATAGTTCCAACAGAAGGATAAGCTATGAATTGAGAGTGCATCTGTTCATATGGCTGTTGAATAGGTTAGTTATTAGGCAACCCACATTCAATATTTAAGATAATGATTATCCAATTTTTGAAGTTTATGTCCTTTTAGGTAATTGTTGATTCTTATTCTCAAGTTACATCGTCCTTGTTTTCTTTCCTCACTTTTCTTATACTGCTGTAATCTGCTTTTCTCTCACTCGTCTGACAACCCACAGCACTCACAAAATGAACTCAACTGATCATTTGAAGTGTAAATATGTATGCAGTTAGAGATTTTCGACATACTCTTATCACCTGTATGAAGGTGGGTATGTGTCTACTACTGCTAATTGTTAAGAATCTAAATAAAAAATGAATGGATTCACGTGAAAGTAATGAATCGTAATGTGAAAGTTATGTTATAACTTTTGTATGTTACCTAGTCGTCTGGAACATTTAAAATGGTATCGGCTTCTGCAAGACTGTCGATGGTTGTAGACTAGGCTAAGTGACAGATAAACAGTCACTGTCACAGATGCATCCACGCCATATCTTTATCTCACTGCCTATCCTCCACATACTTTTTTTCCGGATGGTTTTTAACAATTACTGATATTATTTCTACATCACTGTCTTTGTCTTGTTGATTCTCTCATTGATGTGTTAATTTCAAATGTGGTTACTTGGATCAAAATGCAGTTATGTCAACTTGAGTGCGTTACTACATCTGTGTTTCTATTCGTATGCTACTCTTGTGACGTGCCTGTTGTATTGAAACTGTGTGGTAGGTTGTTGTTCTTAGTTTAATCTCTTCCAACAGCTTATATGTCCATTGTTCACTTATTAAAAATATTTCTGAATAGAACATTTTCGAAAGCTTTCGGTCAGTTAGGAGGGTAACAGTAATTCAAGCCTGTTGAAGATATTTAATACATTGAAAATTCCTATTTAGACACTTATCGATTCAACTGCTTCTGCTAGTTACGTTGGGCATACAGTGAGGCAGTTCCATCGTCTAATTTCTGAGCACCACCCATCTTGGTTGAGCAAGGAACAAATTAGAACAATAAAGAGCTCCATACTTGCACACCTAGTTGACACAGGACATCAAATGCATACTAGAAAAGCTTTCAAAATTACTCATCAGATTCCAATTAATTTACCACATGGATTACGCACTCGTTTACTTCACATAGCAGAGGCGATTGCAATCCACCTTTACAAACCTAACCTTTGTATTCAAAAGGATTTTGTTCGACCACTTTCATTACCGTGGCCGTCAACATGATATAACTTCTAGTATTACTTTGTACACCTCTTCGCCTTCTTGTTTCTATCAATATTCATTTGTTTTCTTGTTATCGCGTAATCGCTTATTGTGAATGATTGAAAACTTATCAAAAGTCACTCCATTCACCTAAGAATACCTTGCTTCATATTTCCAATTTTGGTAACTGTATTGATTGTTTACATCATTATTTCTGAAACATCACGTGATTATTAATTTGATTAAGTTATAAAACTGTGTATTAATGTAGAGCCCAAGATGAAGACCTAGTCGAAAAGAAATATATTTCTTCGCTCAATCAGTTTTTTTTCTAAATATCTTATTTAGTCAAACATGTAGTCACGTCACAATTCAAGAATCGTTCAACGATGAAATTTCAATACAATTTGTGTTACACTTGGTTCAGGTGAAATGCGTCTGATTATCATTGAAGATTTATGAAGCGCAACACTTTTTCATTGTATAGGATTGTAATTTTTGACTGTTGAAGGGGGGTAAAACAACGGGATGGAGTCGTTTCCATACCATGTGTAGTTTAGGGGGAAAAGGTTAAGTCATTACATGAGGCTATGGAGCTATCGAACTACATACTTAAGACATTTTTTAATGAATACGTAAGTAGGTGTTCAGTGATCTTCGGAGAAGAAACAATGTGAGAGAAACCTACTGACAATGAATTTAGTATCAATCCACGGGTTCATTAACTACTACTTTAAGTCAGGAGTATTCGACTGTTTCTTAGCTGGGAATTCTTTTCACACCCTTATGCAATATGACTCAAAAGTGACTGCAGTACCACAGAGAAGACATTACTCCCACCAAGTTTGTAGATACCCCTTGCTGACGAGCGCCAACAAGCACGAAATCTAGGTCCAGGGCATCCTACCGATTGCCTCCGACCAACTAACATCTGTCAGCCTCCTAACTTGGCGGCCACACTGCAGAAATAATCTACAGAATTCGGTCAATACTAGGGTCTAGACAACATGAAATTGGTTGGTCTCCCATGACCAAATCTTTAACATATCTGAACAGTATTCGGTCAACAGACATTCAACCAATAAACATTCACGCTACCTATTAGTCCACAGGTTCCTAGTACATGTCAGTCAATTTGTGTGACTAATTGTCCCCGGAAAAGATAATAGTTGTTCATGACTTTCTCGCGTTTATTTCTGACCCCCAATGACAGTATATAAAACCTAAGCAAGACACCAGCAAGTTTTAAGAATGCATTGTCAACACACCAAGCTTCATGTTATTATGATACTTGTGATTTCCTGTTGCCATACAGGGTTGAATTGCCCGACATTTGTTGACAGACGGGTTCCTATGCAGATGCCGCGACACTTCCGGGTATTCATGATGTCACACTGATTTCAGTGACTAGCAGAAGAATCCAGGACGCATGTTTTGTGCCATTTTTGATCCGTCAACTGGATGTACCTACTCCTTAATGAGTGATGTTGTTCCCACTGAGACTTGAACCCATCGCTCCAAACGCTAAAGCGCTACTCACCTAGCCACCGCGGTATGATAGCCTACAATGTTCCAGACGACTAGGTAACATACAAAAGTTATAACATAACTTTCACATTACGATTCATTACTTTCACGTGAATCCATTCATTTTTTATTTAGATTCTTAACAATTAGCAGTAGTAGACACATACCCACCTTCATACAGGTGATAAGAGTATGTCGAAAATCTCTAACTGCATACATATTTACACTTCAAATGATCAGTTGAGTTCATTTTGTGAGTGCTGTGGGTTGTCAGACGAGTGAGAGAAAAGCAGATTACAGCAGTATAAGAAAAGTGACTTCAAATGTTGATTCCCAACTAGACCGCTTCCTATCAGTGAAATTGTTCAAACTTTCGAAAGTGCCGAAGAGAGAATCAATCTGCACCACTGTAAATGATTTTCATCCATGTCACAAACAGTCCCCAAGTACTGATCCATGTTTTCTCAAGGACCGTAACTGGGTAGTTTGCACCTTCCTACACAGCTAACACCAACTGTCAAAGACCTCATTGTCTGGTGCCACGTCTTGGTTTGCCCACTCATAGCTTTCTTTCAACCTACTCCTACTGGGGCTAATAGGCTGTGGTTCGGTATATACAATATATGGCCATGCTGCCTCAGTTTTTTATAGTTCACTACTTCATCTACTGACTTGCCTTCCTTATCTAGTACCATCCTCTTAACCTTGAAACTCCTCACAGAATGATTCCACAGTACATGCACAATGCTAAGAAGACACATGTGGTCAAAAACCCGTAAACTTTCATATCTTCTGCTTTCAACAGCCATGTCTCATACTCATATGATAGGCCAGAGTGGACTGCTGCGCATTATACTCTTTCTTTAGTAGGTAGTTGGAAATTTCACTAACACCAGAGATTCCGGAAGTTGGGGAATGTCAAAGTCTCCTTTGGCATCCTTGCCGATACTTCGTGACAAGGCTGAAAACTGATCCCATTGGCAGTGATTTATCTTACGTTTTATCATTTTCGACAAATCGAAAATTGTATTCATTCTTTTCTTTCATTTCACTATTCATTGTTTGAAATCTCTGTATTCTCATTCATTTTTTCTTTTTATGTTGCTATGATATGTGATAACTTTTGTTCAGTGTTTGACACTAATCTACCTGCTTTCTAAACGTTTTTCAGCACATATACAGCGAATCATCATATC